TTTCTAGTATTGCATTTTAGACTAAATGATAAATAAATGAACATGCATAAAACTGTGAACAGTGTAAATGGTTTACTGTCTTGTGTACTATTATGTATACAGTACATTATGATATGTACCTTGGTATACAACCAACTAACGTTCAATGTAACCTCACCTGTATTATGCCTCCTACCTAATTAATCATTATTTAATGACTCACACTTTGATGTACATCACCTTCTTCTAGAATGCCGTGTGGATGTGATATATCTATCTGAGCATTAATGAAGGTATAACCACGCTTGGGACAAAGAATGTTAAATTAACTACAGCAACCTTCCCACTCGGACATTTCACCTTGCTTATTGGTCCAGGTCAACCCTTAGGGGTTGGATCTTTCTCTCCACGGGGGTCCCGAGGGCCCAGCAGGCCTTGATCCAACCATATGGGCTCATGCAAGAAGGAGAAGGACAATCTCAGGAGTTTGGAACCAGGACTCCAACCAACAACGACTCCAATCACCCACTCTTCTGACTTCCTCACTTCTCCTGGGTGCATAGCGTAGCCTCAACAAGGGCCCAGGGCCCCAGGCCTTGAGCAAACCAGCTATGTGCTCATGGAGAAAGATAACTTTCAAACAACTTCCATTTACCACTAACAGAACCCTCAATGACTTCAATTTTCCACAACTTCAAGAATTGTACACAACGGTAAGTATTCAATTCAATGAAATGTGAAAATTAAATGCTGTTGGTTCTCATAGTTAGATGGATCTTCTCCACCTTTACATCATTCCATCTCTCACTCCTTTTTCCTACACATGTATTTATGTTTTTGTTTAGTTTATTCACGTTTATGATCTAGTTAATAAAACTTGTGCACTTTATGTATTTGGTTCTGATTCACTGATTGCAAACAATGTCTCTTTTACGATCTTGAGAAAAAGATAAAGAGGCAATGATGTAGAAGTAAGCATTGATCTTTTGCAGAGGCGGTCGTTCATTGCACTACAACGTCAGTCGTTTTCTGAGGTTTGATTCAATAAAAGCTGTTTTTTGGACTAATGCGGAAGTTGAGTTGGGGAAACTTACCGGATATTTTTATAGCACAATGACCACTTAGTACGTATCGAATTATCAAGGAAAATTATATTTCTCATTAATTTCAATATTTATACATTACAAATTTTTACAAAATACATACATTGGGTTAACAAATGCACAATTTTTTGTCAGGCCAATAAAACAAGAATGAAAAAGAATTCATTGGCAAAAAAAAGTGAAGCTTTGTGTAGGCTCATCCCGCAGGACTGATGTTTACTTCCTTAGTTTTGCACAGTTCCATTTTTATTTCTATTAGTAATAATCATCAATATCTTTATTCATTTCTTTTATTCCCATTGTCAAAAACTGGTTCTTTTGGGGAAATACAAATACATTATTTCTTGTCAGGTCAATAAGATAAACTGGGAGAAAAAGAGCGAGAGAGAAAAAAAAAGAATGCTTGGTAAGATGGGCAAAAAAAAGTGAGGCTCTGTGCAGACTCATCCCGCGGGAATTGTCGTCATGGCTACATCCTTCCAGCAGCAGCTCCCCGATTCCAGGGAGCGACGATCGCAAGACAGGAGGAGAGAGAGAGAGAGAGACACACAGATGGAACGGCTCTTATTGCAGAGGATTGAGATGGTATATCACTACGTGGTAAAACAGACAGAGGCATTGTCTGTCCTCTGACGCAACAAAACTCAATCTAACGCTCCAACACAACCTGCGACTTCACACAGTAAGATTAAAGACAGCAGGAAATGGCTTTGCATCACATTTAACTTATGTATTTAGCCATTGTAATGCATTGCGCTGTATTTTTCACTACTACGGTTAACGGCTGTATCAGGTCAAAAAAGAATTCAAAAATATATAGATGCATGCTAATAATTCATTTAGGACTCAGCTAAGGAGGCGCGCATCTCTGGTGTGTCAGTGTTTATCTGTATTCATCAGTAGCGGTCGGAGACTCCAGGAGTCCCAGCGGCAGACAGGTTTAATCAGAAACTCAAGTGGCTTCAGGCAGAGTAGTGTCCTTCTCTCTGAGAGTGCCTCATGTTTGTCTTCCACTGAACAGCAGCCCTTTCAAACATACCTATCCAGCACAGGCCAAAACACATCTGAATATGATGAAAAACAGATATATCTTTGCATCTCATATATGAGATGCAAAGAACAAAGCCTGGCAAAGGACAAAATACAGTAGCACAAACTGCTTCACAGGAAATGACAAGGACAGGGAGATGGGTTAACTTAAGGAACTGATGTCAGATCTCTGATTAGATGAGGACTTGGTAAAATACTGTGAAACAGGACAATTAATATTAATAATAATAACTTATTTTATTTAGTCTTTATTTACTGCTTTATTTTGTATTAATTATGTATTTATGTATGTATTTATTAACTATGTATTAATCATTTTAAATATAATAATAATATTTTTATGACACTATATGATGAGTGTTCTGTTAGTTTTTATTATTAATAATATTTTTTTAAACAATAATAATAATAATAATAATTTGTGGTATCGGATAACAGAAAGAGACGTCTTCAAGATATTTTGCTTACTAAATTTACAACGTCGGGTCTAAAAGACCTCATAAATGCTAATTGATGACAAACAAAATGTGTTGAGAATAAACCAACATTAATCAGATGCCACATGCACAATTAACAATTAGCAATGACATGTCAGATGTACAAAAACCGCAGAGAGGCGTGGGCTGACAAAGTCATTGGATTCTCAAGGACACTGCGGCGAAAGAGAGTGTGTGTGTGTGTGTGTGTGTGTGTGCACGCGTTTGATCGAGAGAGAGACGAGAAGCGTGCAGGAATATGAGAGGTAGCCTGGGAATACATTCACTTGGATTGGCTGTACCGTGAGCATGTGTGTCAATGTGTGATTCTGAGAGCGGGGCTTGGCATCCGGGCCGCAAAGTAGAGTGATGACGGCAGGGTTTGGGTCAGAGAATCATCACAACGGCTAATGAATCAAGGGTTACAAGAGAGAAGAGCAAAGTGGACTCAAGCGGACACAAGCTGTTAGTCTTTGCAACTTGCTCACTCTAGTAGTTGTTCCAGCCAGCGGAAACGATTAGCCACTGTTTGGACAGGAAGTCAGAGCATGTTGTTCTGTCAGAACAGCGATACACTCCATTACCTGAACCAAGTCCGAAAGGAGCAATAGAGCTGCCCTAAGCATCCTCTCCATTTTATAAAGAGCCAAAGCGAGCAGACTTAAGACAACATGTGATTGAATACAATTATCATGGGCACATTTCTGCCCATGCCAAGACAAGATCAATGCCAGCCACAGCCATTACTTGGTTGTTATTTTTTTGTAGCCCCAGACACATTCACTTTGCAATAACAGCCATAATAAATAGGCCTTTCCTGTGTCAGTGGATGCTTGAGAATGAGCCATCATCCCTGCGTGGACATAAAGGTGTGTGATTACTTTGCCAGTAGTCGATGTTTGGTTTCTAGTAGAGGCTTCAGTTGTACAGTACATTGTGAGTGGTGTTGAGGACTCCACATTCGTAACCCTTTAGTGAGGAACAATCTGAGATTATTCCGTAATTGTTCTGGAAATTAAACCATCCGCTAGGGCTGCAAGATTTGGAGTTTTTTTTCTAATAAGTAATGCGATGGCAATTTAAAAACAAGGTTTGCTGTGCTTTGTAGGGCTTTACAATATATAACAACAACAATATATTGATATTAATATAATATAAATATTATATTAGGCTATATTATAAAAGAATAATTTTCAATAAAATGTATATAATATATACTATTATACTATTATATTTATTTATTTTTTGCCATTTTAATATTTCGCTGTAAAATAAATAGCATTTAATAAAAATAATTATTATTATTATTTTATTTTACCCTATACAACTGTAAAATTAAAATACTATTATGTATTGCTGTCGTAATTTCTTCAAGTAATTTTTCTTAATTTTCAAATGTTAAACAATCAAACTTTTTTTGGCGGAAATCCCTAAAGGTGCGTTCACACCGAACGCGAATAGCACGTCAGGTGCGAATGATTGCAATGTTTAGTCAATGCAAAGACGCATTACGCACGTAAAAAGTTCCTGAGGCGCAAATGAGGCGTAGAGCGTGGCGCGAAAGATGCGAAAATGCCTCCAAACTTCAAACTTTTGTTTTTACGTGTGTCAGTTTCACTCTTGAAGCGCAAATTAACACAAAGTTGTCAAGCGTCAAACTAATTTTCGCGAATTCACGTCCGGTGTGAACGCACAGTAAAGCTGCTCTTTTGTTAAGCGATTCTTAAATCCAAATATGGAAAGTCGGAAAGCTGGCGCACGTTGCATGCATGTACGCTGTATGTTGAGGTGATCCCAACTCTACAGATTAGAAAGATTGTTTGAAGCAGCATTTACTGTGAACCGAGCCACTGAAAACACAGGTGATAATAAGCTACTTCTGTGTAAATGAACACAGTTTGCATCTTTTTCACAATATTTGAACATAGGCAAAGGTTCAGAGAGGCTCTCAGAAGTAAACAGGTTATGTTCAACTAAACATCTTCAAGTTGTGCATGAAAACAAGCCTGTAAACCTACCATCCTCCTCCTCAATGTCCACTGGGAAACCAAAGTGGCCATTTGGATTGTGACGGGTTTAAAACACGGCATTTCTGAATAACACAATTGTTTCATCAACAAAATCCAGAGGCGGTGAGGGCAAATACATTCAAACAAACTAAGACCTCAACACTTGAACCGCATCCAGACCACCCTGTACTAATTATTCCCAAAATAAGCAGTGGGGGAAGCGCTCCACACCCATAAAGCACTCAAAAGTACTCAAAATAAACTCCAGCAAACAGATCCAATAATGGTCCGGTGGTCTCGAGAACTTCTGATTTATGTGCCTAACCCCAGCCTGACCCGCTCAGGACGGCCGTGTTTGAGAGGTCGAGAGAGAGGTCACGTACCGTCAGCGCTCTCTTCCTGGCCCTCTCCAGCACCTGCTCACGGAGGACAGACGCGGTTGTTTCTGGACCTGTCGAAAAGAGAGGATCATTAGAAAACAATGCCTACTGGGCTGGAGAAACACAAAGTGCTGCATTCATGACTGCCACTGTAATTCATTGTCACGTTAGCAAGTTTAATGGGCCGGATCATGCTTAACAGGATTTGTATTGCTCTTATGATATAAAACATATTGTCAACAATCCTCAGAACGTAAACGTTTCTCCGCCGTCCTCGTAGCTCGTTTATTAATTACAGTAGAGGTCATTTACATATAGGTGCAGTAACAAAAACTATTCAGACAGAAGACGGAAAATGGTTGGTTAATTCCCAATGCTATTTTAGTATCATTGAGATACTAAAATGTATTTTAAATGATCTTGTTTCTGTTTTTGGTGTTTATTTCAGTTTCGATTTTGTCTATATACTGTAGTTTTTATACATTTTTATTTCAGTTTTAGTTTTTTAGTACATCAAATTAATGGAAAATTTGAAATTTAGCCTTGGCAATAGCCAATAAATAGCTTAAATATTTTATTTTAGTTCATGTTTTTGTTTATTTAATTTTATTTCAAGTAACAAAAATGTTTTACGGTTTCAGTTGTTTCAAAAATAATAATCCTATAATAATAAACCCCACCCACATCAAATAAAGCAAACAGATAAGAGTTAATTATTTTACTCATTTGAAATGTTAAGTCACAATTAGTAAGTTGCTTTTACTGTCCATTAATAAAAATGCAGAACACACACATAAAATGTTTTTTTTAGGAAAAATTTGAAAAAAAAAAAAAACCCTTTCAAATAAATGTTGTTCTTTTGAACTTTCTATTCAAAACAATCCTGAGAAAAATACAACAATACTGTTGTTAACATTGATAATTATTAATAATAATAAATGTTGCTTGGGCATCAAGTCATCATATTAGAATGATTTCTGAAGGATCATGTGACACTGAAGACTGGAGTAATGATGCTGAAACTCAGCTTTGATCCTCCCAGCTCCAACCGCGGCCATGATCATCAAATCCCCATCCATTGTTGGTCATGGGGTAAATCCATTTCCACTGAACATCCCACCATTTAACCACTATGAAATGGACTGTTGCCCCCATGGAAGTGACTGGAAGAGCTGGAAGTTACACCTCAACAAGCAATGATGTTTTATTTCAATCATGTGATGCAGTGAATGCTCTAACTGGTCGTAAACAAAACACAACATATGGCCGCTGGTGTTGTAATAAAACAGAAATTGCAATGTGAATGCAGCACTTCACTGCTTTTATTAATATTCTCTGAAGTCGAAAAAAAAAAAAAAATCACACAAAGCAGCTTCCTTGCATTTTTTCATCTTACATGAATGTCTGTAATTAAAACACTGAAGCTGTCATGATCAAGTTTCTAAACTGTTTTCTCAAGCTAATTCATCAATACCAGGATTCATTTAGGAACAAAACACCACTACTGGTTTGGAAAGTGAATAATTCATATTTTATAGACATACTGAAAGGGTCAAAATAGCAGGAATGTGGGCACATTCCCAGTATTTTTTCCAATATATATTCTGTTTATTTAGGTTACTGAAAAAAAAAAAGAGTTGGTTTGAGTTGGTTATTGTAAGGAATAAACTAAAGTGTGAACAACCATATTTAAGTTTTCCCCCCATCTCATTCAGTCCTAAAAGGATAGTCTGCACTTACAAATTCGAAACTGAACAATTGTTTCCAAATAGAGCTATTAAGTCTATCTGCTGACAACCTCTTTATTTTTTCATACACCAAAATATACTGCACAATAAATATTGCAATGGCAGTTTCTTCCAATATTATGCAGCCCTAGCTGAAACAGTATCTTTTTAACTATCTATTTTATTCATGTCATTTTCTACCGGTATGCACGCTAATTCATATACTAAAATGTCTTTTAATTATACATGTTTTTTCAAGGGGTCACAATGATAAATATACCTAGAAAAGTAATATTTCAAATACTACAGACAGCATTTGAAAGCCCTTATCTTAAACAGCACCATGCGACAGGAATTTTAAGTGCACAATTATCACAGTTGTCAAACAGTTGAGAGAAGGCAATTATGTAATCATTTCTCCCGGCCCGATTGAAAGCAGCCAGCGATCTGTTCTGAAACCCTGACAATGCTTGAGTCAAGGATCAAGTGAGGAAAGAGAAAATAAAACCAGTTGTGGGTCAAACAAACCTAGTCTTGGAAGCACAATGGGTGAAAACAATCACTTTTAAACACAAGCTCTTTTCCTCCCATTCCAAAATTATAATTCACTCTCTAGTGGGCACTCAACCGCTGCGTCTGAGCACTCTTGAAACTGACCGACCGAGTGTTTCATGCTACACCTCCATCGATGGGCATCTTGCCAAGACTAAACTGGTAGTAGAGCGAGTTCTCTGCGCTTCAGTATCATCACTGCAGCGACTGGCAGAGCGGCATGCCTGATTGTTTGATGATAAAGCAAGCACTGGAAATTGTTTATGCCGGGAGACGGGTGACAATGGGTCATCTCTAATCTTTCCAACTGAAAAAATCAATCTGCCAGTAACTGCGTTCATGAGCCAGTGTCTATTTATCCATGAAAAAGGGTGAATAGGAGGAAACAAGAAACATTAGGATGCAAGGTTACGAAAGAAAACAGCAAAGAAGGAAGGAAGTAAAAGAGGCAAATAAAGATACAAAGAATGGATGAATAACAAAATATAAACGTTGCAATATAACATTAAAGAATAACAGCAAGAAAGAATGGCTAATGTAGGAAATTCATAAAAGAGAAAGGGAAAAAAGGAAGCAAGGAAGCATAATAACAAAAAGAAAGTAAGAATAAGAGGTATGGAAGGAAGAATAAGGCCGGATTCACATATAGCGCCTAAAAACGTGTAGAAAACACTGGCCGCGCCGCATTTTCCTTTTTCAAAAGCGCTAGGGCGGTTGCGCTCCGGTTGGTTCTTGTCACGTGACCTACTGTGCGCTTATGGTGCACTTGCGGCATTCTGAAAGGTTGAGATGTTTTTATCTCCATGCGGCGCGGAAAAAATGAGCATGTCGCACCGCTTCCATTATGAGCGCGCATACCTTTGAAATAACGAACTTGAGCGCGCAAAACGCGATATGTGAACAGGCCCAAAGACAAAATGAAAGTTTAAAGAAAATGAGAGACGGGAAAAAGGATCGAAGGACTGTAAGAAGGATGGGAAGTGAAAATGACGGAACAAAAAAAAAAAGAACAAAGGGTGAATAAGAGGAACAGGTTGGAAGCTTAAAATACAAACAAATAAGAAAAGCAAATGAAAACAGGAAGGAAAGAACCATAGACAGAAAAAGTGCAGATGAAACATTTGTGCCTTTTAACGCTGTCAATGCTTATAGTCAGACATCAATATCACAATGATCTGCAGAAGACCTAATGAGACAGATGAAATACCATGAAAACGCAATGGTGTTTATGACTAAATATTGTGACGTTGTATGGAAGAACACTGCAGTTGTTCTGTAAGACTGTATTGATGTGAAGTCCTAGTGCCACATTGATCAAGCTGCACTAAAATAGAGGCATTAGCAGAAGTGTGATCAATGCACAGAGCTCTAATTCAAACATCAATAATTACACTCTTATGTGAGCTGCTATGATACAAAGTGCTGCACACTCAATTATCCAGCAAAACAAATGTGAAGTCAAAAGTGAATAATGGCTGCCTCATGAACACGGAGGCCATGACAATTCATTTTAATTATGTCAAGTTTACAAACTAATAAAGCTTTAAAAACAACACAAACACATCCAAATATTAAAAAAGAAAAACTATTTCGGCACAATTTTTGCACATATAGTCAAATCAGATTGACCGCTTATGCACGTTATCATGTCTGTCAATAACTGTCTGTGGGAAAGCATCGACATTAGGGATGCACGATATATCGGCCAGCATATCGGTATCGGCCGATATATGTTCATTTTTAATGTTATCGTTATCGGCCTTGTAAGAAAATGTGGCCGATATATTAAAGCCGATAAATAATGTATTATTCCCTTCAGCTGAGACACTTGTTGAGCACTGTTTATGATTTTGATTTTCTTGAAATATTTTTGAAATCTCTTTAAAAAGAGATTTTTAAAAATTTAAATATTGTTTGGTACAACATGTGCAGCGCAAATCTGTCATATCGGCTACACAACACTATAATGAGAACATCATTATAATCGTGCGCTTGAGACATGGATTTAATTGTGAGACTTTTGTTTTTGTAATCAGGCTCTCAAAATTAGATAAAAAAATTGGATTTAAATTTTTCGGCCGATATATCGGTTATCGGCTTTCAAATATAAAGAATTACCGGTTATCGGTACCGGCCAAAATTTTCATATCGGTGCATCCCTAATCGACATGGGCATAAATCACGTCACTGCTTGGTGGCTAAGAAATAAACAAACTGTATACACACACACACAAGTCCTTTTTTGGACAGCTACTCAGCCATCCTGCCCATGATGGATGCAGAACTAGGGCTCGGTATCATTAAAACATATTTCGATACGGTTTCCTGAAGGATACTTTTTTCGATACCAAATTTATGAAATCTGCTTTAACAAGATTACATTACATATTGCCAAAAAAAATAATAATATTGGTTTTATTTTTTTAGTTTGTTGACTTTTTTTACAGACTCAATGACTTTAGGCCACTGGGAGGAAGAATATATGCCCCACACTCAAGCGCAAGCTCAAGGCATCGAGCCAGGTCAAATGTAGCCACTCTTTTTATCGTTCACACATATTTTACATCTGTGGAGGTTGGGACGCTTACACGTGTGTGGTGTGAGCCACGTCTCTGGGCGTAACTGACATAAACTAGTTGTGATGAGGCTCAGTGGGTGTGGAAGGAAGAAGACAGGGTCGGCGTGACTGGGTCTTAGGTTTTATTAAAATAAACAAAAGAAACAGGGCGCACAGTAGCGCGTTCACTGTGTTATTATAGTAATACAGCAGATAAACAACAACTCTTTACGGT